CTTTATAAATTTCAGCACGGAGAAATCTATTCAACTATTGTTTATAACTTATTTTATTATCCCGACATTTGAACGACTTGAGGCAACGAATTTCAATTCACAAGATGCTCTTCCCGAACCCAAGTCGTAATAGACATCGATTTAATAATAGAATGCTTAGTGGATTTGGGGCTAATGCATTACAATTTTTCGAGTGGTTCCGCTCGTATTAGAGGGTTGGCAGAATTATCGTGTGGGATATGAACGAGATGTGCAGGGACAAGGGGAGAAGAAGTTATCCGAAAAGGATAGATACGTGAGTGGCATGTGAAAACGGATGAGAAAACGGCAACAAACCCTCCCAAAACCCCCGTGGCACGTAATCTATTTGTCGAGCGCAACGCCAACTTATATCTTCATTATACCAAAATTACACCACTTTCTCTTCTCACACTATTTCTTAATCATGAAATTATCCTCTCTTTGAATTTTTAAATTAATAACTAGCAAATTCCCCTCCGAAAATTTATGATTAATCAGTTTATACATGTTATAATAAGTTTGTTTTTGAATAAAATTTTTAATCGTTGTCCACATACCCGACAATAAGTAAGAGAGAATAGAATGTCGAATTTTGTGGAAAAAAATATATTCCTTGTCTGAATTTAACTTTTAAATAGAGACGCATACGTGTAAGATTTTTATTCGCGATGTGGTCTGAGCAACGCACGGGACTAACTTCTAATTACGCCTCGAGGTGTAATTATTCCCTCGCGAATAATCAGACTGAAAGAGACAGAGAGAATGAACGAACGCACATCGTCAGCCATTCCGCCCTTGCATTCGCCGGAAGTTTTAACTACTCAGAAGAAAAAACCATTAATATCCTGATGCAAACAAGTATAAATATATTTACCAAAAGATGGCATAAAAATGTCCATTTGATTAGCAAAATAATAGAAATTTATGCCAAAATAAATAAATTTAACTTAACTTTCTTTTACAAGGTGTTAATTAAGTAAAGGAAATTTCAGTTTCTTGTTATGGTTTTTAAAATGAGTGAAGAATCTTTTTTCATGGGCAAATAAATGTCAGTGAGAAAGATAAGGGTAAGGAGCGCGAAACATGCGTGACGGATGGGTGACTAAATCGTCCCAAAAATGCAATCATTCGGACTTTAGACCACCACCCTTTCATTCCGAAAAATCTCACATTCAAGTTCTTGTGCGTCTTGGTAGAAAAAGTTCGCGCCTCTGATCTCACCGCGCGCGAGCACGCCGCCAGGATTTAGGGTTCTTTATCTACTTATTATGTCAGCCCGAGCTAATTGGGCATATTGGAGTATCTCTCAAACCGGATGCTCGCACGTAACTTGTAAAAGAACTCAACAGATTTACTCCTCATTCCGTAACTCGTCAGCATATCATCAATCCTCTAATTTATATTGCGCTCATAAAAACCATTACACTGCAGTAACTCTTCGTTACCTTTCATTAATAACATTTTCTTTTAAAACTATTGCACTTCAGTTTTAATGCTCTAGGTTATTAATCTCATCATGTGAAATTAATAACTTTTGTGAATTCCTTCTTTTGAAAACAAATTTTCAAAGCAAAAGCTCAAAAATTTACTCCTATAACAATTTAAATAAAACATTTTTTGTAGCAATCGTAGATTTTTCTGGTGTAACATTTGAAAAAAAATTAGTGAAATTAACTCCAACACGGGCCGTTAAACTTTATTAAGGTGATTTATGAAAAGGCAGGCGATTTTTAGACTTTCTCCGTCTTCACACACACACACACACACACATAGACGTGCGTAAAACTTGGCTCTTTCGCAGTGTGCACAAGTTTATCTAGAGTGACACATGTGCCACTGTATATACGCGTATAATAAAAAGTAATAAAGGCGTGTTCAAATTTCAATCCACCCACAACCACTCGCTTTGATATAGTTCATAAAGTGAATCGGATTTTGATTCGGCGTCTTTGTAATTCAAGTTGCGTCTTAATAGTTACTCCCCAAACCGCGATTTACAGCCTCTGATTTTACATATTGTGAGATGAACTTGCTCCAATTTTTTATAGGGTTTCATATTGAAGTTTAATGAAATGCATGTCTATTTATTTTTTTTAATTCCATTGATTCTTCTTCATTTCATTTTTCACTAAAATTGCAGATACCCACATTTAACGTAATTGTTGTTAAGTTCTAAAGTCAATGCTTAGTGATTTGTTTGCACATGGTTCAAGGTCTATTGATTGTGTTTCGTAAATTTTAGGGTTGCCTCTGAATATTCTCAAGGATTATTGTCTCGTCTGGGAAATCCTTTTATCAATGACTCGCTGAAGGTTCTCCGCCTATAATATCGCGCAGGGTGACTGTAACGGATCCAAAGGTTGTGTACAACGCACTGTAGAAAGGCTTAAGGGATTTAGCATGGTTTCCAGTAACGCGACAATGGATACGTTCCAACGAATTAGCGATCTGGCATGTATACATAAGCAAGTTTTGTATACATCGCCATCCTATCCACACCCCAGATCCAAACAAAATATGCGGAGAGGATTTTCAGCAATGATAAAAAATAACTTTTGTTGTTTATACACATAAAATTTACCTTTTAATCTTTAGCTGATAAAACAGAGGGGGGAGGGGTAATTTGACTCTGATTAGTTTTATCGTAATTTGGGACAAAAGATTTCTTCAATTTGATTTGACAAATTTTGGTACACTTGTTTTTGTTCAGAATTGCGTCAGTAATTTGGAAGATCACCATGTAGAATGAATAAAAAAAAATATATATATATAGAATCTCACATAATAGTATGATTATATGAGAGGCAACAAGGCGTCATTATCAGACAGACATCTGGACGGTCATAAAAATCCTCCGCTATATTTGAGAAACAGAGAGAATGTTTATCTTATCCAGACTTTTTTTAATATAGTGAAACTTCTTTACCGCGGAAAAATTTCTGAGATATCCACTGTATAGAGGTTCCTTCAAATGCTATTAGTACGTGAAAATTGCCATATAGGATAGTCCGCAGTAGGAAAGTTTGATTGTACTTACATGTAAATTGCAATAAATTAGTTGAGTAATTAGCAACATACATATATAAAAAATAATAGAAAATCAATTTGAATTTTTGAGAAAAATTTTAGTTTTAGCTTTCTTTCTCTATTAAACTAGTTTGGCACTATTGGGGACTTATCTATATGGGCGTATTGCTGAATAAATTAAAAAAATTTTAAGAGCTTTTACGCCCTATTAGAAGAAAAATACTGGGAAGTTAAACGGATGATTTGGTTCATCTCCCACTCAGGAAATAAAGCGGATGCGACAAAGTTTTTCCTTTCCCCAAAAATAAAATTTTCAAATAATTAACCAGATTATTTACGAAATCATTGGCTGGTCGCAACTGTCAATGTGTTGGGTTTTGTTTTATTCTTGGAATTTTTTACGCTGAATTCACTATATGTGAGAGTGCTCTCGCATGAATAGAGTTGTGACAATAATAACAATTGAAATCAGGAATGTTTGTATCACGATTTGCATCGTTACCATTCCTTGTGGTAAAAGTGCGAATAAGTTTCACACGTCGACAACATCACAATGGCGCCAATATCTCTCGATCCGTTGTTAAGGACAACGCTCGCGCCTTCGCGTTAATGAATACCTCTATCCGTGACCTGTAATTACTTTAAACGGCCCTGACGCCATACAGTGAGCACTCGTGACCGTCCCCCAATGACTCCCAGTCTTTTATGTCCAAGTCATGTTTCTACAATAAAATAATATTATGTATATGCTTCAAGCATTCGGATGCTCTTCCCCAGTAGGAATTTGTCATGGCACCACTAGATTTAATCGAGACACTGAACAATTTTTCTTATGGGCAACAACGCTCTTGGTCAGATCAGTTTTCTCTGAAAAATTGTTTTCTATTTTTGTCGTATAACTTGATGAAATTTGCGTGACTTTCAGTTAGTTCTAAAATTCTAACGCAACTGTCCAGTTTTCTTGTAAAAATACAACGAAAAATTTCTACTAGAGATGAAAGTTTTTGATTTTATGGTTTGAAAACTATTTAAAATTACTGTTATAGTCTCTCCAGTCTTAAACATAAACTTTAAATTCGACAATTACAGTAAATAAATAAGGAAAAGTCTATTTATAATACGATTCATTTCTCAAACTTTTATCGGTACGATAGAAAAAAAATTCTCATCTTGGGGCATCAGTAAAAGTGATTAACTACCAATTTCCTCCTCCATTGCTCCAAAGCTTTCATGTCACGTGGGTACGTGATTCGCCTGAGCGCTTCGAGTAATACGGTGCATACATATTTATTGGGACGCTGTAAGTGCTTGAAGGAAAAAAAGCAAAGAGATGGCTTTACCGCTTATATATTAATTACAGATGTCCCTTAACGAACAACCAGACCCGGAATATAAAATCGTCTTTATTGGACGAAATTCATGTTTTTTGCTTGTCGCTTGAAATTGATGCATAATGTATCTTTTAATCTTTACTTTTAAATTAATATGAAATAACAAATTCATTTGCACATTCTCAACATTCTTTTTAATAAAATAAATAAATAAGACTTTCCCTTGGCTCTTCTCATGGTAGGGGTCACGAGTATAACTATAGTTTTTACTCATTTAAAATGAGAAAAACATGAATGTGAAAAGTTTAATTTACAAAACTTTTTCGTTCTAGTCTATTAATCCAGCATTTAAAGGCTTTATATTGCATTAACGATAATTAATCTAATTAATCTTACATATTAATAATAAGTTTATGTATTACGATGTATGCAATTTCTAAAGCAAAGGAACCAAAAGAAAAAATCTTGAAAAAGACACATTCATGCCTGAATATTTTGTTTCATTTAGGATAATTCATGCTATAAATATATATTCTTTAAATTTTAATGTAGGTATGACTATTATAGTTACGAGAAATAAATAAATTCTTGCTTACAAAATGATGGTCTGAATCCACTTACCCATCGCATCTGAAACAGAAATAAAAACTGTAAATTAGTAAAATTAAATGAGTGTAAATAATGTAAAAATTTAATAAAGTTTAAAGTTTACAGCTACTCTATTGTATTTATGTTTTACTTTTGTAGAATGTAAAATTTGTAGAAATAATTAAAATTATTAGGTACCTATATATAGATTAATCTTGTTGAATTTAATGTTTCTGATGAGAATTTATGTACACTTATAAAGAGGACATATCTGTCTCACAGAAAACTGAAATCCTTCACGCAGCGGAAGAGATCAACTATGTGTTCACTATCTCTCCACACATGCTACGGTGACACAGTCAGCGCCTAGAAATAATAAATAGAGATAGGCTGCAGAGAGACTCTCATGTCGGTTTGTACCCACGACTGAGATTATCTTCTGGAATTTTATTACTGACTGCACCTTTGAGATTATGTAAGAAAATCCATAATAAACGAAAAAATCAATATTTTATTCGGAAAATAGCTTTTTCAGTTCAAAATTCTTGTAAAAATGAAAATAAACAAAAAAACAATAAAACACGAAAATTATAAATAATAATTTTAAAAGTGGTTTCTCTAAGATTTCGTTTAATTTGTAGTACGTTTTTTCCAGCACTACTAAAGAAATTGTTATATTCTGAATGTTCTTTTTTCATCTTTTTAAATACCAGAAATACTTTCTCGCATTAATTTTGGATGTAAAGTGAAGAAAAAGTTTAAAAAAGACATCTAGATTATACAATAAGAATAAGTTTAAAAAATTCCTTTTTATACTCAAATGTTCGAATAGATTTGAAACATTGGAGGTAGGAAATATAAAAGAAAAAACCAAGAGCCGTGCATGGCACTGTAAATATAATTGAATAAAAAATTGATCTCTTCCATCCCAGAAAGGAAAACTGACGTTTCGCTCTCTTCCTGTTACAGAAAATGCCATAAAAGTAAATGAAAGTGGAAATTCTGCTGTCATCTTCCACTCTATGCTTGTCACGTGGTTCCATATTAAAAGGAACGTTCCTAGCTTCCGCTGTTATTGAGCAACGTTAACACATCGAATTAAACATGAAAAATGAATCATATGCTATATAGAAATTAAGATTAACATTAAGATAAAATAATATCCTTATTTCATCTGTCCAGTTGTATAATATGTGGACGTCCGTATGAAAAGGGACCACTTTAGTTTCTTTCGTAAAAGCGATAATCGTATTAATGGTGACGCAAAAATAATCCTTATTGTAGTCGACAAAATGTTCCCTTTTCATGCGGACGTCCACATATAATATATGTTACTCAAAATTTCACAAATGGGCTTAAAAATATGTATTTTTTCAGCAAAGAACAGATGTCTGAAACCCATCTGTACATATATTTCTTCGAATAATGTAATATTGCACAATTAAGCTTTAAAATGTGGATGGCATGATCATGGTAAGTTCACGTTTCAGTACACGTAACTAATGAGATCTATATTAAATAGGTACAAGTGTTATTGTTGCTTCATTACCTTGATCTATGCATGAAATATTCTTCTACCCCTTCCCTTTCTTTCTCTCCCACTACTCTTAATAAATTCATCTCGGAAAGATTATTTTTTCTGCAAAGCAATTAATTAATTTGTTCGAATAGATTAAAAGTATAAGAAGTTTCATTCAATTAAACATTTACGAATCGTTATGAAAAATCAGTTAAATTTTTAATGAAATTATTATTGTACTTAACGCGAACTATATCACTACAGGTGTTCTGCAATCGCACCACGTGCTTCGCAAAACTAGGTCAACTTTTTAGAAGGCGAACGAAACGAGAATGTAAAGTGGAGGGCGTTGATGAGCAGTTAATTGATGTTCTATGAATTTGGCAGTGCTTACCGCGAAAAGAATCGGGACCAGACTGCGGCTCGGTCGCTTCTTGCGAGTTCCACAAGAGTCGACTGTTGAGGGGAGGAGAAACCCGTCGGACGGTCGCTCGCATCGAGGAATTTTAATTATAAATTAGTTGATTAACTCAATAATGTTTTTGTCCATGGCGACAGTGTCCTCGGCGTGTCTCATACACCCAAGCATGTGAACCAACCAGTATCTTCCACATAACTCAGAGGTTCTCTGAAGTAATGTTCGCTGGATGGTAATTATCAATTTTACAAATTTGGGAAACAACTTTCATGAAAGAAAAATTTCCTCCTAAGAAAAAATGTAAGCTCTCTAGACGCCACTGCTAGGAAATGCACATTTTCTTTTCAACTCTATTGTTTATTCCTTTAACCTAACTCACTGATAAGTAGGCATCATTTAACAACATTCACTACTGGATAACATACACGGAGAAAAATGGAAAAACGAATAAAGTAACTTTTACTACTTTAAAAGTAAAATTGGACCTGTCCGAAGTTTCTGCGCATCTCTGGCAACTTTTACTCGAAAAATAGTAAAATTGACTATTTCTGTAGTAAATTTTACTGTTTCCGTAGTAATTTTTACTATTTCTGAAGTAAATTTTACTATTTTTGGAGTAAAAGTTGCCAGAGATGCGCAGAAACTTCGGACAGGTCCAATTTTACTTTTAAAGTAGTAAAAGTTACTTTTTCTTTTTTTCCGTGTACTAATTTTCCAGGAAATCACATTGAGGCTCACTCGGTTATAAATATTACTTTTCGAGATCAGTAGAACACGATTACCCCCATGTTAAGTTTACAACTTTTTTCCGACAGACAGCAAGTTTCGAGTTCGTTCATGAGACCATTCTTGATATTAATTTTTTGCGATTTTCAATTTAATTTGTGCTTGATTATTTTCGTTGTTTTAAAGTAGGTAAATATAAAGTTGAGAACCCTCTGCAAGAGAATCAGACACGACTTTAAAGAACGCCAAATCTTTGGTATGAAAACACAATGGTCCTCGGCGACAGTAGACCTCGACGGCACGCTCAGTATTTGGAATGTTTTCTTTCATATTAAATAAAATATATTCTCCGAAGCTTCGAGTGAACGAAGCGGGATTCCCTCTCGGGAAAGAAGAAAAAGAAAAACTTTTTCTTTAGAATAAAATTAAAGTCAAGTGAATTCTTCTGTTTATATTTCTCACTGCGTGTCTTTTGCTCTGTTTCTTTCTTTCGTTTTCTAACTTGTTTTATTTGTCAATTACCTAAACGGTTACAGGTATATCTTTATTAGGTCAATATAAAGGTGAAATCCAGACCAAAGTAAAGAGAGAATTTATTGTCCACACCTGCCTCTTGGACAAACGATTCCAGGTGTTGTGTGTTGTTCCCAAATAGGGACGACTTGTCACTCTTTAAGAGACCGAGTGAGGACTGAAGCGACGGAAAGATAAAACGACAAGACATTGCCAAAATCCTTGAATCTCACTCTGTTACCAGACGAACTTTTGAATCAATCTCCCGGAAGGAAAGGGGAAGCTGAAAGATATCTCTTTCAATACGGCCAGAATATGTATATTTCAGAAATATAACTTCTTGTCGCCAATATTAATAATGTTCTTTCTTATCGAAGAACAATTTGTACTTTTTTCTCAGGGTCTTTGAAGACGCAGTTACTGTGTCGGAAGATACGTCCGGAGATGGTTACGACCGCGTCTGATTCTGGTTCTCGCATACCAGGCGAAGCGACAGTCCTCGAGTCCTGTGAGCAAAAAGCACAAGACTGTGACCCGACCAGCATGGTCCTCTCTCCTGCCATTCGCCTCGAAACCGCCATACTTTTTGCCCCACACTCCGTACGAACGTCCACAGAATTTAAAATATGTAACGCCGAAGCTTCAACGCAATGTAGACATAGACGCTCAATAGAATTGTTGCCTTAAAGTTCGCCAAAAGCCTAGTACAAACTACGGAATATTAAGTTGCATTGTTTAGAAAAGATTGAATAAATATTAAAATATCCGCCATGCTTAAATGTTTAGAGCTAAAGTTGACTGAACATGTAAATTAAATGTTTGTCAAATGTTGGGCGGAAAGCTGAATAAATATTTAAATTAAATGTTTAGCGCTAAGTTCGACTGAATTATTTAAAATAAATGCTTGTTAAATGTTTGTCAAAAATATTTGTGAAAAATAGAAGTAATGATTCCAGATATTTTTTATGGACACCCATTAATATTTAAATATACATTGAGCATCATATTTGAGAGCTCGGTAAGAAATTTTATTCAATTAACCTCCTCTTACCGGGATGCCGAAAAAATGTTTTGCGCAGCAGTAAGTGCTTTAGTTTAGAACTGCGCATATTGACAAGTTATTTTTTCTGCAGAACATTTTATTTAAATGTTCAGTCAACCTTCACGTCAAAAATTTAACGAACATTCAATTTAAATGTTCAGTCAACTTTTGCGCCAAACATTTAATAAAAAAAAGTTTATTTAAACGTTTATTTAATTTTCATAATTTGATGGCTAAAAATAGTGCTTCTTCTAATGACCTAAAGATTGGTCAGGCCAGTATTTCAATTCAATTTTGTCTATTGGCCGGCCTATAGCAAATCGACTAGGCTTTTGGCTAACGGCCAACGATATATATAAAGAATTTGAGATCTGCTGGAATCTACATAATGGAAGCAACATAATAACAAACTTTACATAAAATCCTATTTGGATAATATTCTCTGAAAGGTTTCATTCTCAAGTGGACGGATTCGCGAGATTGGATTGGTCGATAAAGGGAAGAGGATTCTAGGACACGATTCTTAAGGATGAAGAAGCCGCGTTATCATTAAGTGAAATGCCATGTCCATTATCTCTCGCTTCTTGGGACCTCCGACAGGATCTCTCGAACACTATAATATGCCTTCGTCCAGAGACAAGACGACATCGTCCCACGAGAATAATCCCAGTTTACTCTCATGTGTGCGGGAGAGTACCGGGTTATTAATAAGGTTCGGATATCAACTGCAATTAGATGCAAACTCGCCAAGCCACACTCTACAAGGATAGCTCGTACACTTTTAGTTTCTTTTTTCTCGCCCGCTTCAAGTCGATATACATTAA